TGGAATCATATTCCTTCAGAACATAATCCAGCCGATATAATTTCTCGCGGAGCCAATATTAAATTTTTAATAAATTCAAAATTATGGTTAAATGGACCACAGTTCTTTACGAAAATTGACGATTGGCCTAAGAATTCAAATAAGTTTATTCCCATTGAGAATATACCGGAATCAAAGCCTAACTCTAAGATAATTTTAACCACATCAATCGGTCAAGACTTGGAATTATTTAACAAATACTCAAACCTAAACAAATTAATTCGCATCACCGCCTGACCTGAAGGTGTCTAGAATTTTAAGACAATTTAGTCAATTGAGTTCCGATGAAATTAAACAGAGTGAAATTGCCCTATTAAAATGAGGTTTTTCCCAAGAAATTCATGACTTAAAGGCAAAAAAACGAGTTTCATCGAAAAGTAAATTAAAATGTTTATCGCCATTTATCGACCAGAATGGTCTAATAAGACTCGGTGGTAGATTAAGCAACTCAAAATTTAACTACGATGTAAAACATCCTATAATCCTCCCTCCAAAACATCACTTTACACGTCTTTTAATCGATCGTGAACATAAGCGTACATTACACTCTGGTGTACAAGACACTCTAGCTCACATACGACAACAGTTTTGGCCGCTTAAAGGTAAACAAGTCGTGAAATCTTATGTGCGTAAGTGCATTACGTGTGTTAAAACAAATCCGCCTATAATAAATCCAAAAATGAGTGAATTACCTAAATTTCGTGTTGAGCCGACTCGTCCATTTCTATCTGTCGCTGTAGATTATGCAGGGCCTTTCGAATTAAAAGATGGAAAAACTCGATCCAATAAAATTATTAAGGGTTATGTTTGCATATTTGTTTGCTTGGCAGTCAAAGCCGTACATATTGAGCTTATCACTGATCTGACTAGTGAAGGGTTTCTAAGTTTATTAAAACGATTTGTCTCGAGAAGAGGTTTTTGCTCACACATTTACAATGACAATGCAACAAATTTTGTTGGATCTAATAACAAGCTTATTTCGATTAAAAAAAATTATAGATTCAACAGATATTCAAAATTATGTCTTACATTCTAATATAAAATGGCACTTCATGCCAGCAAAATCTCCACATTTTGGCAGTATTCACGAAGCGGCTGTGAAATCGTGTAAACATCACTTAAAGCGCGTTTTAAGCGGTATTCGTTTAAATTATGAGGAATTTTATACTTTGACTACCCAAATCGAGGCTATATTAAACTCCAGACGTCTTGTACCAATGTCATCCGATCCTAATGACCTCGACGTGATCACGCCAGCACATTTCTTAATTGGGCAGCAGCTACAGCTATTCCCGAAGAATATCTTCTAAATGACAAGGTCAATTACCTGAAACGCTATCGCCATCTTCAATTGATGGGGCATCACTACTGGTCACGTTGGAGAATGGATTATATCCATCAATTGCAGCAAAGAAGCAAATGGTATTTCAACGATGATCGAAAAGCACATGTGGGCGATCTTGTCCTACTAAAAGAAGACAACGTTCCCTCCCTTTGCTGGCCTCTCGGAAGGATAGTGGATCTACATCCAGGGAAGGACAACATTGTGCCTGTGATCAGTGTAAAAACCCAAAACGGTGTGTTTAAAAGGGCACTGACGAAGGTAGCATTGCTACCCGTGAATTGAAATGTGATAAACATGTCGCGTTAATTCTTCATGTTAGAAATATTCCTTGTTTGTATAATATTTTGAAAGCAAAGCCTAGCCTTTCAAGGGGGCGAATTATGTTCAGTTTTTATGTACTTTATGAATGTGAGCCAATAGTGGCAACGCCGCACGACACCACGAAAAAGGGAAGAGTGAAAAACCGCGGGGATAGTGGCGAATAAACTGTTAGAGAATTAGGTCGCAAACGGGGGGATTGGCCACATGTAATTTTTATTTAACTTGGTAGTGTAGAAGTCTATCTCTGTTCCTTTTGAAAATCAGTAAAAGCATGAGAAGTTCGCGTGGGTGTTATTTCAACATCAAGCAAGTGAGAAAACCCCAACAAAACTTTTGTATCAATTTGTTGTAAATACTAGGCAGCGACCGTGGTCCATCGACCACGAAGTTCCTTCATTAATGTATACAACATAATTTCAATAACACGCTGTATACATTATAAATACATTCCATAATAAGTAAGTTCGATCGTAAAAACACGCTAAACAAGTTCAATAACTAAGAAATAGAAAGGCTATTTTTTTTACTTTTGCCAAAACGTAAAATCGCGTTGACTTACGGACAGCTTGTTTGAAGGGTCAAAGGAATCCACTCTCACATTTCTTTAGTAAAATGGTTTTCGACGAATTTTTAAAAAAGTTATTCAATTTTCTCGTGTAGTATACCAAAAATTGTTGTACACCTAAAACGCACGTCGTTTTAAATAAAAAAATATAAAATATATCTTGAAAACAGATTAAAATGCAGATATTGAACAATCACTTGCAAAAAATCCAAAAAATGACCCTGCTTATCGGAAATTAAATTTGAGAATAACCAAAGCTTATTACACAATCTTATATGCGAATTTTTGCCCCTATATTTTTGAAATTGTGAACGCAACTAATGAAAAAAGGAAAAAATAAAACTACTTTTATCACCCTGTATCTCCGCAAATATTGACTTTAGGACACAGGTTTATTTGACAAGCGAAATATTATGTACAAAGAATACACTGGCATTCTCTGGACCATTCATTTTAAAACATCCTGTATATTTGAAATTAGAGAATCGTGATGAAGATATCCTGCAATCAGTAAAAAACCTGAAACCGAAGAAATCTGTGGGTCCAGACATGCTTTCTCCGGACATACGAAAGGGCGTGTACAGTTTCTACTAAAGCGTCTGAAAGATATCATTCTTCAAACAAATGCATATCTCCCCCAAAATTGGGAGAATCTATTTTGTATAATAAAATTTTAGGTCGCCACTCCCGTATAAGCGAAAAGCAACATCTCCTTGTACCTAATAGATCTGCAACAACAAGTCTTTTGAAAGCTTGTGCAAAAAAACAAGTCACATAATGGAAGAAAATAGTCAACTCGGCATTATTTTTATAGATTTTAGTAAAGCTTTAGTTGACAAAACTACACAAATTTGAATTGTTAAATAAACTATTTGTCGGATAGGAAACAATTTATCGTTTATAAAGAAGGGAAATCCAGGATTTTTTTGACAAGATCTGGTGTACGGCAGGGATCAAATCTGGGAATTCAAGAGCGAGATGTTAACCTACTTCAAAATCCCTTGGATAGAGTATATGAGTGGTCTTTGGTCATCTGCTTGTCATTCAACATTGAAAAATGCTACATGCCAATAAGAAGAAAAAAAACAAATTATTAATTCGTCCTATTCAATTAGCATAATATATGAGTGTAAACCCTGAGGGGTGACAGTGGATAGAGGTTTATAATCAGAAATTCATTCAAAATCAGTAAATTAAAAACACTATAAATGCTCTACAATGGGTTTGTTCGTAGCAGACTATAATAAGTGCAAAAGAGATTTTGAAGATTTTCGCATTGCAAAAAGCATGGTCTTCCCGTTGCCTAGATGAAATTAGTTTTATATCCTCAGAAGTACGTAAGTAATATTTTTAAAAAAATTATTGAACATTCAAATTGATATCCTCAACTAATTTTGCAAATTTGCCACTTACCAGGTTCAGGTGTAACCTTTGCATTGTATAATATATATTCTCTCGGAAATCTATTGAATATTGATTTATTTCCGATATATAACATAAATACTTTTAAGCAAAAATGTTACCTTTGATATTATTGGTTAGTTGGTTAGTTGTTTTGTAGTATAATTCATTTAATTGCCTATGTGCATATCCAATAATGTAAACTTTCATCAGAACTCCGTTCTGTTGATTGCTTAATAAATAAATAAATAGGACGCTTAGCACCCTACCTTTTTGGCAATATTGTTTTGTAGGAATAAATAGGTGAATAAATGGTTAACTAACATATTTATACAGAGGTTTATTTTATTACTATTTAAAAGGATGCAAAATTACCGCACCTCATTTTGGACCGATGTTCTCGATCTTGAAAACAACCTAATTTTATCGGCACGGTTTTGTGACTGTTATTATCTAAATAAAATGAAATAACCGCCGTAAATATCGTTAATTCCTAGTAATAGTAGTTTACTTCACAGACATCTAAAAGACTATTTGTTTGTAGATGACCAAACTGTAAGATTTGCAAAACTATTAACAGTTTTAAAAACTCTGCAGTTTTTGTTGAAAAATTCGATAGAATAAAATTATGTAAATATTGACATAGAGGATGGCACAAAATATATTTTAGTAACGTTTGCCTCTAAAAATAATTACAGGCACGTAGCTGCACAAAATTTATATCGTATGTATTATCTTCACTTAAATTCATCCAAAATCCTTCGAAGAAATTAAACAAACTTTGGTATTTACACATTTTCTGTATTCCTCTTGCGTCGGTTCTTTACAAATCGAACAGGCTGACTTTTTCCTACTCATCCTGTTGACTTAAAGAAGTCAACACTGAAACTGTCTACTCTCTGTTCTACTCTATCCCTGCCTATATACTGTTTGAGGAGGGCGGAGTTAGAGACGGGGCATATTGTCTCGGATAACTGATTCCCATATTGGTGAAAGACCTGAGTCGCGGTTAAGATTGGTTGGTTGTTTAGGGTTCTCTATGGATTCTCGGAATTTTTTTTGGTAAAACTCATATGTGGTCAGTGATGTTGCGGATGCAAGAAAGGAGCACAGTGGCAAGTATGGGGTTGGTTTCAAACTTATTTTCTATGGGAGATTGGTAATGCATAGAAATCTCTAAACAAGCAATTTTAACCACGACCCAACGACTTTCACCAATATTGGCAGCAGGAACAGAGCTGAATGAAAACCAGTTTCAGTTAAGCTCTAGAGAATCTAAGAGGAACGTCGGCAAACCGATTCAGGAGGAATCCAGAAGCTGTGTAAATAATGTCACTGTAGCCTGTGGAAGTTTTTTGAAAACTTAAATAAACATTGTACAAAGGTATGTATTTATATATGTATATGTTTCTATACTCCAGGGATTTCCCCGTAATTTAAAACACCTTATATCATTCAAAATTTTGAGACCATACAATAAGTAAAAGTTTCTCATAACAATTTTGTCAAGAAAGAAAAGTTTTTATTAAAAAATATTAAAATTCAACGTCACCCAACTTACAGGAAGAAAAACGACTATTTTTGTATTAAAATTGGCCGTAAGCCATTTTGCAAAAAAAAAGTGAGGGGTCCTTTTGATCTCCGACGATACTGTTTCAAAAGCGCGTACGACATTTTTGATTTTTAAGACCGTTTTAACACCGACAACATAGACAGGTAACGTATTGTTTGTGGACTATCGTCCAGCACTTCTCTTGAACTTTCCTTAACTGTTCCTTCCTTCATCTCCCTCTACAATTTTAACACTGCACACACATGACCCGAAACCTTCCAACCCGTAGCTCTCCATTACGTGGTCCAGACTACTATTTTTCTTATCATTGAAGCCGTTAAGTCTCAACGATGCTACATCAACGCTGGCGCTTTTGTTCTTGTAGATGGCGGATGTAATCTTGGGTTTCGTGGTGGCTGCAGTCACCACGACGCTCTTGACGGGTTCTTCGTTGGCGTAGCCCACGTAAACCCCGTAACCATAGCTGCCGTGGTCGTAGCACTGCTGGTTACCATAGCAGTAAGTCTGCCTCAGCGAACCGAGACTAGTGTTGGACTGAGACAGTCCGGTCTTGGGGTCTATCGAACGCTCCGGAGAAACAGTTTCGACGTAATACTCGCTGTCGTCGCACTCTTCCAATGTTTCGTCGTCGCTGTACCTGAGGATGGCGTTAATGTAGGGCGATTATGAGACGCGATTCACGGTGGATGGTAGGTTTTGACGTATGGGGCCTCAACCAATATTTATTTGTTTTAAAATGGTAACGGTTACGTTTTGGTTACCTAAGTTACAAAACATGTCATTAATTTTTTGAAGAAATTTTCAGCGGCTATTGTAAAACTATTTACAAATCTTCTGAGTTCCTCCGGCATCATCATGTTGTCTTATTCAGACCTTAACTGAAACTGCTACAGGATGATTGATAAAACGACAGAAAGTTCGATTTATCAACAACTGAGCAATAATCCAGAAGATTTCTAAATAATATCTATGGAACGCAATCTTAAATCGGGTATTAAAGTATCTTCTTTATTAGATTCGCTTTGCTCACCCCTCACGAGTCTAAAATTCATCGTTTCTATGGACTCTCTAAGGTTCTCAAGCCAGGATTACTCAAAATATCTAGTTGCTATATAAAATCCCTATGCAGTTGCAGTAGTTTCGTATTTAATTCCTTTCACTTCATTGAACAATTAAAAACCATTACATTAGATCCAAACGATAATCTAATTTAACGTAGAGTCCTTCGTATTTCTGAATTTCAGATATATTAAAATCCGAGAATCTGCAATAAAACCTTCTCATCTTAATTGAAAAATGGTTCTCTAGAACATATTTTTGTTATAATAGTGAAATTTATGAAGAAATGTCAGGAACAGCTATGGATTCTCAGTAGTACAGTGGTGCCGGTTCTGAGCCACTTTTGGCGGGAAAATTTGAATTTTCGTGAATATTGGGGTATGTTCGAGTTGGCGAGTGAAAATTTTGAATTTTCGGGTATATACGGGAGTGTTCGGTATGTTCGGGTATATTCGAGTGCGTTCGGGTATATTCGGGTGTGTTCGGGTATGTTCGGATGTGTTCGGATATGTTTGGGTGTGTTCGGATATTACTAGTGTTTGGGTATGTTCGGATGTGTTCGGGTACGTTCGGGTTTCGTAAATAAGAACAAATGTAGTTCCCCCGAAACATACCGTACACCACGAATTTTTAAAGCAAAAAACCCTCTATCGAACCCGTCCGAACCAGTCGGGTGTTACGATGGTCCGATAACGCAGTTAGCTCATTCCTTGTTTTCGTGCCGTACAGTGCGTAACGCGTTTGACGTGTGTATACTTACCCTATTTTGCGTTTCTGTTTGTTTAATTATTATTAGTTTAGCCAGTGTGGTGTAAAGAATCATGTCGTCTGGACAAAAAAGGAGTTACAGTGCAGAAACGGATGAGAAGGAATTTCTTATATGGAAAATTTCGAAGGTAAAACAGTGTTTGACCGAAAAAAAGTCGTAGTCAGTCGAGAGACAGGAGAACAATCTGTCCACCCTTGTCTCAGTCGTCGTGATAGCGGCATCGGCTGTCGACAAACCTGGGCCTAGCCGGCGGGAAGAGGATGCTTCACGAGAATCGGAATATTGGGAATGTTGGGACCTTCCTTTATCCCTTGTTGTCGGCTAAATATGATGGTATAATTAGCAGCTTCAAAGATGACATGTATCATATTTGACAGCCTGTTGTAAAACGTGCGCTTCAATTCCAAGAAATATTTAATTGTTTGGAACTTATTATGGCACATTTTACACTACGTTACTGAAGTATTATGACTTACTTTAGCTTCAGGACCATCCATTTAAATATTTTGAGCCAATTGGGTTTCTACATTTATGGAAATGTCTCTTTTATTTCTACGAGTTAAAAAGAATAATGTCGCAAGACAAAATAGTAATTCCTTTCTTATAGACAAAGAAGTGTCGTCCCTTGACTCAAGAATTTTGGCCCTGTTGGGAGAGAACACCCTATACGAGAACCATCAGGTCCTAGTATTCACCAGGACGTAGCCACCAGCTGGTCGTTCATTCTGAATAAGGGACTTAGCAAGGAAGCCCTGACAAAATTAATGAAGAAATACCCACCTCCAGATAACTACTTCTGAAGGCCCTATCAGTTAATTTAGAAGTTGCAACAGCTATCAGGGAGCTGGAGAGTCGAAGGGATCAAAAGTTAGCTGGCCAACAAAGTCAGATTGGGTCAGCACTGGCTTCATTGGATCAATTAACCACCGGCCTTATTTCAGAAGGGGGGGGGGGCAAATTATCCCCTTATCGAGCTGGCCAGTGATGCTAGTAGGTTGTTAATAGACCTCCACTGCAAACACCCAGCTATTCGTAAAGAATTGCTAATTCTCGGCCTACGGAAGGATTTAAAAGATACCCTCGTGTCTGCGACAGCACATGGGTAGCTTTTCGGGAAGGAACTGGGTGAGCGGATTAAGACATCCAAGGACATTGAGAAGACTGGCTTCGATTTAAAAGCGAAACCTTCCAAGACAGTTAATAAACCACCTAATCCCAACAACCGGGGTTTATTTAAGAAGCCTTAACACGAGCCTACCCGTCAAGGAGCCTACCCGACCCAAAGGACAGCGGACCTGGACCATCGTCATCGACAAGGGGGCCGCAACTTCAGGAAGTAGAGTGTAATGAAGTATGTAGTATGGCTGGACGTCTACGTAAGTTTTTACTCATATGGAAATAAATTACGCAAGATAAGAGAATTCTATCTCGGATATTGGGTTTAAAGATTCCTTTCCTCCTTAAGCCAAACCAAAGTATACTGCCTTCGGAAACACATTGGACAGATTCCGAAAAGATTGTTTTAGGAAATTCAGTTAAGGAATTATTAGCTATGGGTTCTATTAATAAACTACCACATTGCAAGGGAGAATTTATTTCAAATATTTTTTTAATGCCGAAGCCGGATGGATCTAGGCGGTTTATTTTGAATTTAAAGTCTCCTAATAATTTTATTAGGGTCGAACATTTTAAACTTGAGGATCACAGAACAGTGGGCAATATAATTGAAAAGAATTTTTTTATGTCTACCTTGGATTTAAAAAATGCATATTATTTAGTTGCCATTGACAAAAATTATAGAAAATTTTTACGTTTTATGTTTGATGGAATTTTGTATGAATACCATCATTGCATGCCATTTGGCATTAATTGTGCTCCGTTTGTTTTAACCAAACTTATGAAACCTATTCTGGTCTTTCTAAGAGGAAAGGTTTTACTTTCAGTATTATATTTTGACAATTTTTAACTGTTAGGGAAAACATTAGATGCATGTAAACGCAATAACTGTTACATTTCTCCAAGAGTTGAGATTTGTCAAAATAAATAAGAACTAAAAGTTCAAATTTTGACGAACTTATATATTTTTACATGACAATTGTTTTGACAACACCGTGTCTTTATCGCCACATTTGATAAAGAAACGGTGTTGTCGCAACAATGGTCTTGTAAAAAAATATAATTTCGTGAAAAACTGAACTTTTAGTTCTTATTTATTTTGATAAATGGATTTTCATCAAGTAAAAGCCACCTCAGTTCAATTGTTGAGATTTGTTATTAATTATGGAAAGAGTGTTCTTACTCCTTCCCAAACACGTAGATATTTGGGGTTTATTTACAACTCCAACGCTATGACTGTTTCTATACCAGAAAATAAGAGACCTCATCTTTTAAAATGTGTAAAATTCCTACTTAGAAAAAAGTCCTGTCAGATTCGCGTTTTTGCTCAAATAATTGGGAAATTTATTGCTGTATGCCCAGCTGTTCGATATGGATGGGTTTACACGAAGTTACTAGAAAGAGAAAAAAAATTTTGGCCTTAAGACGCTCTCTCGGAAATTATGATTGGTTGACCTTAATTCGTGGTTATCTCATATTACCAGTTTTAATCATATTAGATTGCAGGTGTTCCATCAAGAAATTTTTTCAGATGCTTCCTTAACGGGTTGGAGTATTCACTCTAATGATGTTAGGTTACATGGGTTTTGGTCCCGGGAGGAAAAGCCACATCACATAAATTACTTAGAGTTAAAGGCAACTTTCTTTGATTTAAGGGGCAACTAACCGGCCTAGTCAAAATATTCTTTTGCGAATCGATAGCACAACGGCAGTCGCCTACATAAATAGAATTTGTGGTGTTCAGCATCCTAAGTTGAATTCCCTTTGCCGAAAAATTTGGCAGTAGTGTGAAGAGAGGAATCTCTTAATTTTCGCTTCCTACTTTAATTCTAAGGAAAATTTGGTTGCGGCGACAGAATCTCGCAATTCACACTTTGAGACTGAATGGGAATTAAACGATAAATATTTCAAACAGATAATACTGAACTTTGGATTACCTAATATAGACATCTTTGCGTCCCGGATCAATTCTAAATGTGACTTATTTATTTCCTGGCATCCGGATCCTGATGCGTTTAAGGTTGATAGCTTTACTGTTAATTGGAAAAAGTTTAAATTTTACGCATTTCCGTTTTCAATTATTCTTAACTGTAAAAGCCACCTCAGCTCAATCTTCTTAAATTACCACCTCTCTATTTACAAGCTAAGGAAGATTTACTTAAATCTTTTAACAGACCTCAACCCCACCCACTGTGGCCACAGCTTATCCTGGTTGCAGGGTTCTTATCCAGCAGGGCCTAGAATTAAGGGGAACGCCTAAGACTACAATTGATGTTTGCTTAGCCTCTATTACTTTGTCTATTATCAAGCAGTACGATTCGGGCTTAAAGCGATGGTATCAGTTCTTCCTTACCAAGAACGAACGCTGTTTTGCGGCATCAGCTACAGTGTTACTAGAGTTTCTGCAGGAGCAATATGACAGGGGCGGTTCATATGGCACCCTTAATTCGTATCGGCACGTCATAGCCCAGCTGCTGGGGCCCTCTATGGCTTAAGATAGTCTGATAAGACGATTTTTTAAAGGCGTATTTCATTTGTGGCCTAATTTAATCAAATTCAAAAACACTTGGGATCCGTTAATTGTACTGAATTATCGAGCTTAAGGATATAAAATGCTTTTCTCAGGGAGTTTTATTAGTAAGCGTATTAAGGCATCAGGTCCTTATAGGAAGCAATCATTTCATTACCTTTTTATGAAGCCGATAAGGCTATTTGTGTTGCTACCACGCTTTTATCGTATATAAATTTAACGCGATCCATTCGTTCGGAATGTAACAGAAACTTAGTAACCTTTAAAAAACTGCACCATAAGGCATCATCGCAAAGTATTTCACGACGGATAAGTATGTCTTGTCAAAGGAGGATATTGACTTTAACAAATATACCTCTCATTCAACAAGACATGCCTCCACTTCATTAGCGGAACGCAAAGGCATATCTGTAGGGCAGCTGCGGGCTGGTTTGTTTTGGTTGTTACAACTTGTTTGGACGTTATTTGTATAATATGTAAGATTTTGCCATATGTTAGATTTAATGTTTTATATATCTATTTTCTGGGTTATCAAAGTGTTTGCCTTATAATATATTAAACTTTTATATTGACCTCTAAAAAGTTTTATCTTCCTTAGGTTTCTACAGTTGCACCATTAAGTAAGTACCTTTAAACATCTACGTTTGTTCGTATTTACGGAACGAGGACGAAATATAATTACCAAATCAAACGAACTTACCTGTAATGAAGCTCGATTATAATTATGTGAAGTCCTCTTAAAGTAAATAAGATCCTCCTTCTCTGGCTGACGCTCCAATTCCCATCCTTAATTGTAACAACTGCAGAAAGTCTTCATATAATTACAAACGAACTTCATTACAGGTAGGTTCGTTTGATTTAGTAATTTTTAGATATTCTTATTAATACAAACTGAGATCTATTAATGGGTCATTCAGTTTACAGTAAACCAGGAGCCAGGAGCCAGGAGCCAATGTCAGTTTCAGTCTGAAGAAGCCAACAGGATGATTAGAGAAACGCCAGCAAATTGGATTTATCAACAATCAACTCAGGAGGAATCCAGAGTAAGAGCATTTTTACACTTAGCGACTCTATATGCAAGTCTGTATGGTGCTAACATTATTATAAAATAAGACTTATAGAAGAAAAAATTATTCCTTTTTACAGCCGCGGGTTATTAGCTGAAGAACTGAATTTGTAGCCGACTCCTGAGTCGTAACGACCAAAATTTTGCCGCAGCCCCATTCCATTAGTGAATCGCATGAAACACGCGACATGAATGTTATCCGCTACGCTCTGCTCGTGCCAAATAAACTCGTGACTTTTCGTGAGTTTTCCAAACGTCTACATAAAATACCTTTTCTACTACCGTCAGTTCTTTGTCAATCAATCAAAAAAGGAAAAACCTCTAAAATCGTAAAAGAAACTTTTATAGAGATATCCATAGCTGGTCGGTATGGAGTGGATAGAAAAAACAAGAACTGGTATTTTGACAAAAAAGATGCCAGGCAACATACCTGGTCAAGCAGAATTTTGTAATAGCCCTAAGCCTTTTACTTACATTAGGACACCTCCAGTCTATCAATATCCAATCACGAGGAACTAAATTTATTTGCGACTTTCATGCCCATAAATGTTTTCTTCATGTTATCCCACTATGGGGCAAATTGCAAATAACAATTTTATGTAAAATTTTATTTTGGAGAATATAAAATATCCCATATAAATCCGGAGGGGTGCGGATTCTTTGCATCTGTATTTCGGTTCTAGGTGAGACTTCAGTGGCAAAATTTCAAAACTTTCTAGATTTTTCCTTTTATTGTACTTTTTTAAGACCAATTTGCTTAGAACATTATTTGCCATAAAAAATCCTGGACGTTCAGAAACAAATGATGGAGATAAATAATTTTTAAGTTAATGTGAACACCCAAATTATCAAAACTACCCCCCACCGTGAATCCTTGCTATCAGTGTGTCCAATATAAGGATTGGATAGCATGCGAATATCGGAAACAATAGTTTTAAAGTTTTATGGAGAACCTTAAATCTACCAGAAAAATGAGTCCACCGTTTGTGTGAAATTCGAAAAAACATGTGAAAAAAAATACGCCAAACGTAATCTTGCAATTAGGACAATGAATATTTTCATTAATAGCTAGAGCATAAAACATGCTTTTAAATGATCACACAAACACAGCTTTTTTTATAGTATGCCATGACTCTCAACACACTTTTGAAAAAAACAAATTTTCGACAATTTAATGAATTCAAAAAGTTTTGACTGTTCAATTATGGCTGTAAACATAGAGGGCATTAAAAAACTAAATGTCTTTATTAACAAATCCCTTTATTTACAGTTTAACTTCAGTTACAATACAGACGTTAAAGTTAAGTTGAAAATTTTTCCATTGAGAATATTTAAATACAGAGCTTAAAGATTACAGCCAAATAAAATTATCTCAGGAAGACTGGATGGCAATTTATTGGAGTAGGACTCATTTCAAAAACCAGTTACAAAAAGAAATAAAACGTGCAATATGAAAACTGAAAATAATGTACGGTTAGCACCAATCCAAGACCCTACAACATCGGTTACAATTGTCGAAGCAACAATACAGAACGCCACAGCTACAGCACATTTTTAAGTATGTTTTAAATTTTTTACGTTATTGAATTTTGAATAAACAATAAAGGTTCAGTATCAACGATCAACGAACTGTCAAAACTTTTGTCTTCAATTGAAATAAAATTTTTATTTGTGTCCCTATGATAAATGCATCACGTGATCCGTCATTTAAAAGTATTTTAATGGTCTATCCAATAATGAAAATATGCAATATGTCGCCCATAAACCCCAAGATCACGTTTGCCTTATTTTGGGCTTTGCAGACAAAAATAGGACACCAAACTTTTTATATTTTTATGAGTTTCGCAAAAACGTTTCACTCTAGAATCATTTTGCAGGCAGGCTTATGTTCCTCAAAAAAATCTTTCCGACATCCCCATGCTATCCCATCCGTATATTATAACAATTACTGCGTTTTGGATGGCAGCACAAACCTTTCCGGTGGATTGTGTATCAACGCACACTGATCGCTCGTCGATCCTGATCTTTCTGCTTCTGTCGGGCCGCCGGATCCAGGACTTCTCCTGCTGCCCTGCTGAACCTCCACAACGAAAACCCCATCCCTCGCACTCGGGGAGTATCTCATTGTTGTTTCCCTGCTATCTTCTTCGATGTCCTAAATTGTGAATATCACGTGAAGGTAGAATATTAAAACGTCAAAGTTTTTAATTTTGCAAGACTTCTCTCACGAAAAACATAATACAATACAATGACTATGTTATAGTACTATGCTTTTTCTTATTGCGAGAGAGTAATAACAAGTAAATTTTCAATGACAGGGTGAACAACTTAAACGTAAAGGTAAATTTAAAGTTCAGACAAGTTTCATATTTCAGGTTTCAAGTACTACACCTCGATAGTTATGTGACACCGGCGTTATGACAGGTAATTTATTAGAATAATAAATAAATAATAATTGTCTTCTTCTCTAAGTTCCTATTTGCGAATGTTGGTTATCAACATCATATTAATCTTATTTTATTGCCGAACTAGGTTTTTAGATTTGCTAACTTTCGGCCTGGTCTTCTCTTGCTATTGATTTTGCGTAGAAGGATTCCTTTTAGTAGTCCGTGCCGTTCCTCATTATATGACCGGTACCGGAGTTTTCGACATTTTATGAATTCTGGTTCTTCATTACTTCCTCGAAGCATTAGTAACTCTGCCTAAAAGATATGTTTAATATGTTATAAATACCGCAATCATCGCCGATAAGCTCCCAGTATTCGAAGTGTTTTCGGAGCGCGAGCATTGAAGATGCCTAGTGAGGTCTTAGCGAAAAGTCTGCAGGATTCCAGTCGGAGTTCAACAAGCGAAGGAATGATATCCCGGAATATTTATATATATATATATATATATATATATATATATATATATATATATATATATATATATATATATATATATATATATATATATATATATATATATATATATATATATAGAACTACCTGTTCGTCCACCTCCCACTTCCGGGACCGTCGACAATCATTATAGGTACAGTACGCTGGAATACCGTTAAGACCACTAAGTTTTACACATCAATAATAATTTACAACTCTCTGGCATTAGGAAACAGGATATAGTGCTATACTTTATATTAAAATTTCATTAACTTCATTTTCCCACTTATTTGTTAATTGCTTAATCTAAATATAATTCAGGTCTGCAACTGGAACGAACCAAATCCATGAACTAACCATTGTAATAGGCGATTTCAAGTTTTCCCAGCAGTAAAGCAGGAAAACGAACAAAAATCTAACATATGTTATCGGTAGGATTGGAAGTAGGTAACATAAGAGGAGGATACCTTGTACAATTTGCCACGAAAAATGGCTTTTTCATTGCCACCACTGGATTCCGGCACCACACACGTGGGTCTCTCCAGTTGGTATGGTCTGTTCATAGATATAAGAAAGTGACCAATTGCTTTTGAATGTTATTATCCAAGAGTGGTCATTAACATACAATGCAAAAAGATTATTACCTATCGTTTCGGAATTTAAATTTAGGTAAAATTGTGGTCGGTAATAGAAAATAATTTTATACCTACCTGTGTTTAATATTCTTTGGTTTGGTATACTACTTAATTTAAGTTTATTAGTAATCATTCTTAGTTCGTGTGTAATACAGGGTGTGTTGAATCGTGTGCGAATTATGCAAAATATGTGCGAGTCTAGTGTATCTCAAGAGATGCTCCCGCCCAAATATAGAAAACACTATTCTAAGGAAGTTATAAACAATGTTTATTTAACTCTCATTGAACGTGGTGCTAGCAAGCAAGCATCTTTAGAAGAAACGGCCACATTGACGAAAATTCCAACATCAACTGTATGGAATATCCCATTTCAGCGAGAAAAAAAAGAAGCGATGCTGACATTTTCTCGAGTGTAGATGAAAGTTGCTGTATCTGAAACGTGGCTGGGTGCGGGGGTTGATCAGATGGTAGGCATTCCAAATTATAATTTTCTGCATCGCAATCGTCTGGACAGGCGCGGAGGCGGTGTGGGAGTGTACGTTAAAAATAATTTAAGGTGTGAAGTTTTGGCCTCTGCTTGTCTTGAGCATATTGAATACATATGGGTTAAAGTACTGTTAAATAATCGAACCTTTATGGTGGATACTGTTTACAGGCCACCTAATACTAACGTATCACAATTTTTTAATACCCTTGAGGAATCCTTGTTTAATATATACTCGGACTATAATAACTTAATATGCTTTGGTGACTTCAATATCAATATGCTTAATTTGAATACTAATCTTGGAACTAGATTAACTTCTGTGTTTTCTACTTTCAATATGGACCAATATATACAAGAACCTACCCGCATTGCATTACATTCTATGTCGCTCTTAGATTTAATATTTACCAACGTAAAAAAGGTGTCTGATGTAGGGGTTGTCGACAATAACATCGCTGATCACTTTTTGACATACATAAAATTCAGTCTAGACTTGCCAGATAATGAACCTGTAAGTTTTTATTATAGATCATTAAAAACCATTAATCTTCAGGAGTTTAAGAGGGATCTACTAGATTTACCGTTAAATAACTTACTTTATTTTTGTGACATTGAAGAAAAGCTAAACCTCTTAAATACTTGCATATTGGAACTATTTAATAAGCACGCGCCGTTAAAACGTTTTAGGAAGAATAAAAACTATAACTATGCGCCTTGGATAACAGAAAACATAAAACTGCTATAAAAGCTGAGAAATAAAGCGCTAAAAAAATTTAAACTGACTAAACTTCCAGCACATTACGAGCATTACAAACAGTTACGTAATTATACAAATTCGGCCATTAGATCAGAGAAAAAAGCTTTTTTAAGAACTAAGTTTTGTCATGGTAATGCCAAAGAGAAATGGAACGAACTAAGGAAACTTAATGTTGTAAAATGTAACAGGGGTACTTTGCCAAGTCACTTAGATAATGTCGATCAAATTAATAACTTTTTTATAAATAGTGTGGAAAATAATGATAGCCCCAATAAAGAACTGCTGAATTTTTATTATAATAATAGGTTAAATGACAGAACGGATCACTTTGACTTTGTATTGTCCACGGAAGATGAGATTCTCAACATTCTTTGCTGTCCATATATTGCCCCATACATTACGCATATAATAAATGAGTGTATCATAAATTCGTACTTTCCGTCAAGATGGAAGCGGGCACAAGTCATCCCCTTACCGAAAATAAACAATCCTGCGGTCAATTAGCATATTGCCTGTTCTATCTAAAGTACTTGAAAGAATTATGAACGATCAAATGGTAAACTTTTTAAATTCTAATCATATTCTACCAGAGAAACAGTCTGGTTTTAGACCTAATCGCAGTTGTGAGAGTGCCATGCTGGACATTACTGATGACATTTTTAGAGCGACTGACGATGGAAAGATAACGGCTTTAATATTGTTGGATTTCAGTAAGGCATTTGATATGATAAATCATTCAATTCTCTTGGCCATTCTCCATTACGTTGGTTTCTCCGAAGGTGCTCGAAAGTTTCTGTGTTCCTTTTTGTCAGGTCGGGCACAACGGGTTGTCTACAATCAGCAGCAGTCATCGTTCCTAGGTGTTCGCATGGGTGTTCCACAGGGCAGCATTCTTGGTCCCTTGTTGTACACTATTTTTACTTTTAACTTCATTGGAGCCCTCCACCAATGCAACTGTCATTTTTATGCGGATGACACTCAAATTTACTACTCATTTTTTCCTCAAGAAATAGCTACCGCGGAGGATGTCATCAATACTGATTAATCAAATTTTTTTAACATTGCAACAGATCACCTCCTAAAGCTTAACCCTAATAAATCTTCAGTAATACTCTTTGGAAATGATAATCATTTAACCCATGCAAAGTATAACATAACAATTAAACTTAATAACATAAAATTGCCACTCTCTGAGTCATGCAAAAGCTTGGGTCTTACTCTTGATTCGCAGTTGCGATTCAGAGAACATATTACTAATAAACTAAGGGTTGCCTATGCTAATTTAAAATTAATTTATGGCAATAGACATGTACTTTGTCAGGGAACTCGTAAGTTGCTGTGTGAATCACTTATTCTGTCACAATTTAATCACTGCAGTGCTGCGTACGGACCGTGCCTAGATACGTCCGATCGTTACCGTGTCCAGAAGGTTCAAAACTCCTGTCTAAGGCTAATTCATGGGGTAAGGAGGAGAGATCATATCTCCCCGTACCTTGCTGCGTTGGGTTGGCTTAATATGCACCTTCGATGCAAATTACGAATGAGTTCCCTTTATTTCAACATCCTTAAAACAAAATTACCTTTTTATCTTTACAGAAAAATTACTCTTGACATATCAATACACACTTGCGTGAGCGTCCGTAGTGCGAACCACGAAAAAACAAGCTCTCTTCTGTGACCGGTTCGCGAGAACCCCGCGCTGTGTTGTGGTAAATACCACCCCCAACCCTCCAGAAAATACCCCTAAGAAGACCCGGCCGGGCAGACGACGACGCGGGAAACCATCAAGGTGGGTGATTAACCGTTTCGGGTGTTGTATGTCCTACCGTTTTCTTGCCGCTCTTTCTCGTTTAAATTTTGAGGGTGATTTACAGCCACCTTCCCCCAACCCTTCACATATTGGTGAATCTGCGTGGAAGACACCGACTAGTTATACCCCTTCACCGCAAAGAATTATTTAAAAGATCATATTCCTATAATATAGCCATTTGCATTAACTCTATTACTAATTTTGATATTAATCAGTCCAACTCGACGTTTAGGAATAATTTCAAAAAGCAGTTGTTACGTACGCACTAATATTAAGCTCTTCTACAAAACATGTGCCCCTTTCCTTTCCTTTCCTTCCACCTCCATTTCTTCTCTTTTCTTTTCTTTAGAATTATGTGTATCTACGCTTGGCGCTTTCAAATAAATTCTATGAAATTTTTTATTATTATATTTTCGCTGTTAAATTGAGACCTGAACAGTATCTAGAACTTCTAGATGGCTGCCTATTGTTGGCCATTATTTCACTTATTTTACTTTGGTTATGTAATTATTTCTATGTAACTTTGATGGTTATAACAATAAATGTATTATTATTAATATATAATAAGGCGCAAAATTTACCAGTTATACGAGGAACAAAGCGTGCCTACATTAGATATCTTAATTAGGAGCCTTGAAAAAGATGAAACCGGTGTTAAATGTGGCAGAACTATGGAAGTGTATTCAACACATGGGTTTTAGATTTTAAAAAATTGACAAAAGGCAAATTTAAATGGAATCTTTTAGAATTCGGAAATGGCGACTACAATATCTAGAAAAAATTAGGATTTCCAGAGAACAACAAAAGTCAATTATTTACTTGGATGAAATCTGACTCAATCTAATTGACTCAACTGATAAGTGTAAAACAAACTGGCCATCAGAAATAGGAAAAAGAATAACTATTTTGCATGCTGGCTATAAAGATGGTTGGATTCCAAATTGACTTTCTCTGTCTGCGAGAAATATTAAAGATTCTTCTCTGGATTACCATGAAGACACCACCGCTTATTTGAAAGTTGGTTTAAAAACAAGCTAGTTCCAAACATTCCTCCTAATAGTGTCATTGTAATGGACAATGCAAGTTATTACAGTAGACAGTTGACTAAAATCCCTTCCTCATGTGACACAAAAGCAACAATCCAAAACTACATGTATAATAACGACATTTATTTTCACGAAGATTAAACCAAAAAGCAATTAATTGAGGTTCTAGAAAACTTGAACCTACAAAAGGAATACGTCTGTGATAATTATGCAAAAAATTTAGGGCATACAGTTTTAAGGCTTCCACCTTACCATTGTATATTTAATCCCATTGAACATGTTTGGCACCAACTGAAATCTGCCATTCGTCGTAACAATGTTTTCCCCGTGTTAACTCCAATGTCCTCAAACTTATAGAAACCAAAGTTTTTAACGTCCCTCCACAAAGTTGGGCAAATTGTGTTAAACATATAGAAAAGGCAGAACAATCGTATATCCATATTGCAAATAATATAGAACAAATAATAATTAGAACAGCGATGATAGCGATAGTGATACTGATATATTATGTGAATAATTTTAAGTAATTTAAGTAGGTAATAAAAATATCTTGTAATTTTATTTTAGATTTAAACATAAATACATACATAAATAAATAAATATTGTTTAGTATCTTTCCTATAAGCAAAGTACGGACTTGTTCGGCCATATTTCGATCTTACAGCTTGCCCGAGTGTTTCCTTAATTCGTATCAGTTAGTCACTTTCTTATAACTATTAACAGACTTTAAGTACACAAACCAATTAGGTTATACGTTGAAATTACGTTTAATCAGTATACTCAAAATATCTAGACCTATGGGATCTCCATAATAACGAAAGCATTAAAACAAAAGCTATGGAGTGTCTTAGAGAAACTGCAAGAACGCATATTAAGTCTTATTGAATATACAGGGTGTTTTCTAATAGAATGTCCATAATTAAGGTGGCGAATTTTGGATATATTTTAAAAAGAAAACTTCATAAGGTCATATGTCTCAAAATTCTCTACTTGTGATTTGATTTGATTCTCTACTTAGATATTTTAATGAAATTTGGCACACATGTGCTATATATCAACAGGCCTTATTTAGTGTACCATTTTTTAAAATACACTAGTGGCGGGCGGACGGAGTCTTATTTTCAAATAAAAATTATTACTACAATCTCCAACCATTTCTAAAGAAATTTAATTTCTTGATTTTTCTCAATCCGATGTAAGGTTTTGGCCTAATAAAATAAAAACCTCTACTCTGCATGGTCATAACAATATCGTTAATACGACAGAATGCAGAGAAAGTAGTTTTTATTTTTGAAAACCGTGCATCGGACAGAAAAAATATTTTTAAGGAAATTAGTTTCGTGCCACTGACAACCTATGTATCTATGGACGAATAATATTTTAGTTAATTAGGTCACTGCACTGGGTAAATCGATATTTTTTTTGTGAAAAATAAAATATCTATCCAAAATAAAATATCTAGTTGTTATACCTTACCTTGAAGGATGCATGCTTCAGTTCTTCCTCATATTTCCGCGCACTCTTTGAAGTATACCTCCAGTGTTCGTCATTAAATAGCAGGAAGCTCTTATACGATCCTTCAACTTTTCTACAGTTCACATAGTTAACTCGGCTGCGATATACCAGGTTTGAAAAAGTCCAGACTATTTAAGTCTTGCGACCTAGGGGGCCATGGTTAACGTCCGCCGCGATCTACCCATCGGTTATTAAATGTGCGATTTAACTATTCCCTTACTGCAATATTGGCAAATCCTCTTCTAAAAACCGGCGATAGTTATGGCCATTTAGCCTTTCTATCACGAAAAATGGGTACAATTAAGAAATCTCCAACCATTCCTGCCCAAACATTTACCGAAAACAGTTCTTGATGTTTAAATTCTACAATTGCACGGAGGTTTTCATCAGCCCAAATATGGTTATTGTGGAACTTTCTGATTGTATTTCTGGAAAAGTTAGCTTCATCTGTATATAGTATTTCTTGGTCAAATAATGGATAATGCCCAATTTTATACAAAAACCATTGACAAAAATTAACACGTAATGGAAAATCTCTGGGAAATAACGCTTGAATTCGTTAAATATGATATGGCATTTTTTATAGTTCAGGACTTTCATCAATAGAATTTAAAACTGCTTCCTCAATTTCTGGACTTCTAACAGCGCGATGAGCCCGTTTTAAATGATTATTTGCCCCCCAATTGCCGGTTTCAGTCAACCGTATATGTATATTTGAAAATGTTCGCCTATCTGGTTTATCTATTAGGAAATCACTCTTGATATAGTCGCCTAGCTTCCGGTGTATCCAAACCATTCTTTATTAAAATAATAATGCTCGGATATTTTAAACACAAAATTAATAGGACGCGAAGAACCAACCGAATTTAAAAACTGATATCAAACAACTGTCAAATAACTGCCTTGACAACAATTAATAATTTTTACAGATACAGCTTTCTACAAAGATTATGATGATAGATATGATTATAAAAATACAAAAATATACCTCAGAGGTTACGTATTTCTTATTCGTACTTCGATTTGTTGAAGTATTTTTATAAAACAGATAGATAGACAATTACTTAAGTAAGAAATAATTATGATAATAATTCTTGTATGCTATCATATTAACAATATTGTTATGAACATGGAGAGAATAAGTTTTTATTTTTTTAAGCGAAAACCGTATATCGAATTGAAAGGAACCAAGAAATAAAATTTCTTTATAAATGATTGGAGATTGTAAGAATAAATTTTATTTTAAGAGATATCAGTGGCGTACAATCAATGTCTGCCAAAATAGAAATGTGAACTTCCGTATGCCCGCCACTGGTGTATTTTTAAAAAAATGTGGTACACTAAATAGTAGCTCTTGCTACATAGTACACGTGGCCCAAATTTCAATAATACATTTAAAGTGGTATTACAGATATTAAAAAAATATATTTTATTTTTGAAAACTTTACCACCCTGTATCTTAAAAGTTAAGACGTTTAGGGCATATGCTCATATGAAGTTTTCTTTTTAAAATCGACCCAAAAATCACCCTGTACGTGGTGAACGAAGCGCTGAACGCTAGAACAATCGGATAAGAAGAAATTAGTGCTGACTTTGTATGCTATAAGTGGCTTGGACTGAGAGAAGGGCTAATCTTTTCATACCAGAAAATGGCAAATAATTTCCCAGATGTATCGTATTTTTTCATTAAATTTGGGACCCTTGCACGTATTTATGTTTATGTTATCGAAATCACATGAATGGTAATTAACAATTTGGCAAATAATTCATCCCAAACAGGATGTCCAAAATTTGATAAGCGATTACGTTACGTTTTTTACTTTTTTAATAAAAAACCCTCATTATTTTCTATTCCAATATGATGTTTGACAGACACTGGAAGATAATTTTCCTTCAAAAGAATGAACATGGTAAACGACAAAAATGCATATGAAATCAGAACATTTTTGAATTTTAAACATAATAATCAATGAAAGGCATAAGAAACTTTGAATACAAGAAAAATAATTATATGATAACAACTTCGATGAAACACTAATTAAACACTACTTTCATTTACGTAATAAATCTTCAACGTGCGAATGTAATGCGACAATAATACACCTGTATTTCTTTTATACAGTCATCAACTCTTTTGAAGAAAAATCAAAATCAAGAATATATCAAAGCCAATGGTAATTAAATAAGGCTTTGGGATTTGATTGACTCTTGATAGAAAATCCGAAATAGCCAGAAAATCGTTGAAAATAGGTATTGGCAGAATACTCAATCGATGTAGTTTTGCATCTTTGAAAATTATATAGTGGGGTTGCTAAATTTTGGATACCATGTAACCTCAATTGAGCAAAGCAAGTTGATCGCTGACAGATAATTATAAGATATTTTGTATATTAGCTTTTATATAAAAAAAAACAATATGGAGATATGAAAAAATCCTGTGGTTGTCAGCTAATTGGTTTCACTTGATCCCTGATTGCCGAATTAATCACCAAAATGTAAATAAGTGAAAGACGTAAACTGTGAATAATTATAAATGGTACTTTGGATTGTAACTCAAAATAGTTTTTGAACTAGCCGTTTCAAAAGGAAAGGAATAAAATATGGTTTGTATAAAATAACGTTTGCTTACGTTTCTCTCCTCGGTTTCCACTATTAAGTGGTTGTTCTTTAGTGTCATGGTTATTATACTTCCATTTGCGTTACGATGGCCGCTGGTTTGAGTATCTTCACAAACCAGTACTTCTTCGGTACTAATGGCCAAGTGGGTGTCGTCAGAACCCTGAAATAAAATTTGTGCTAGTAGAGGGTATCTCGCATAAAGTGACCGATATACTTTTCTTAAAACTTGTAATGCCGACCTATTAACAACAACCCGCACAACAAATATTCGACTAACTAAAAATATTTGCAAACGGACGTTCACACACATAATAAATTTATATATTTTACTGTACTGTACTGTACTGTATATATTTTACTGTACGAGTTTTAAAATTTATGAATTAATAGATCTCTTTTGTCTCAAATGGCACACTCTATATATTATACATTTAGTAGAAAGATTATAAAACATCTTCTGTAGTAAATTATCTACATCACCATTACGGTACAATCAATTGTAAAAGGGCGTGGCCCCATAGAAGTCCTGATCTGACAACAAGGGACTTTTTTCTTGTAAGGAACTTTAAAAAATGGGGTTTACAAAAATAGAATTATGCAGTGACAAAACTGAAAGAAATAATTCTTTAGGAAATTATTAATCTCAATCAAACTGTGCGGTAAACGGCATTTTACTCACGAGTTCATTTGGCGCAAGCGGAGCGAGTGTTTAATAAACGAGCGACTTAAAAAGTTTACCATATATACTTTTTCTACGACCGACAAAAACTGATTGGACTTAAATTATTGGAAGTGAAATCCTAATTATAGGGAAAGAAATCTTGCAAGAATAAAAGCCATTTTCAATTTTTCCCAATATGGCAGAAACTAAACTATACATAAAAAAAGGCCCAGTATAAAACATAACAGTAATAAATAAAATCAGTATTTTGTATCAACCACGAATTCATTTTGATCAATAATACTCGTCTTTTTTCAACTATCCCAGCGGCAGTCGCAGCTCATTTTTTTTTTAATTTGGGACGTCTCCGCTAGGGGTACAATATAGTGGGACCCCACATATTCTCACTTTTCATTGGTTTTGTCTATGATCAGTATATAAAATTTACCAAATAGGAAAGTTGCATAGTTTAATCTAGATTTTTAATTTTTATTTTTTTATATGTAGAGGGTGTAATTTTAAATAGAACACAAAATATATTAATGTATCTTGAGAGTCTCCGGCAAATTCAAAATATGTTTCATGTATTAATACCTAAGTCTAACAGTTTGCGACCAATCTTGAATTTTATATCTAATATGACGTTTACGTGCCCTAAAGCAATTAACTATTTTTCCTATAAAGGCGCCATAATTGCTGAATTTTGGATGGATTTCTTGTGGAAAGGAGCCTTTTGTGGGTGTGAATGATTTGGATGTTAATTAATACTGGGTGAGCACAAATGAAAAACAAACATTAAATTAATAAAAACGTAAGAAATCAATTTTTCAAATGAAAAAGTGCACGAAAAGTGCACAATAGGACAACACAGAAATGTCACTTTACAAAAAACCATCTATTGATACGAGTTCTTTGTCACTGATTTATTATTTGATTTCATTAATGTGTTTTTTCCATTAAAACCCAAAATGTATTTAGAGAATTAAAGATTGGATCTACAGCGTGTCCCACTTAAAAAGTGGAAAATCTTTGTTGATGGTTCGATTGGGATTCTTTTGGTTTCTTCGATAGATCTCTCAAAAATGAACTGAAACCTTGTTTTCCTTATTGCTTCAACCTAAGGTCATGGCGAATTGGAATTATTTAAAGAAAAAGAGAGAAGAGATAAAGAAGTACTGTTAGGGATTTAGAATAAATTGGGAAGGAATTCTTATAGGACTACTTAGAACCAATTTCTATATGTCCCAATACAGAGTGTTTGAATCAGCCTTTGCGCCAAACTTAAAAGTGTACAAGGTGAGTCAATGATAGAATAAAGCTCATTATCTCATTGATTTCAAAAGTTATGAGGAAATGGAAATAAAAAAGTTGTAAAGATTATTAAGATGCTCACATTAAAATTATGTTGAATTATACAAGGCCGCTCAAAAAATGAAATTCTTCAACTTTTTTATAAATACTATTTAAACCTAATAGTTTTTTCACCCTCGCAAAAAGATTACGATAGCGCCAATTTGATATTAGCGTTAGTCGAAGATGACGTAAAGGAACAAAAGACAACTGAATTTGAATTGATGCTACAGGGTGTTCAAATAAATGCATATATTTTTATCATTTTAAATTGAAAAATCTCGAATTTATTAAATACACATTATTATTTTTTCAGAAAGATCTTACAAAAACCTATAACTTTTATTAAATATGGCATATACTTATTTTTAATACTTTACAATTAATTATAACTTTTACAATATTTACCCTCCCTTCTGTCTAAGACTATTAGCCAACAAGGCTCTGTTAACTTTGTAGCATTCGTACAACAGCCAGTTATTACCAATTTTGGTGAGAATAACTGCCAAATTTTAAATTAACAGAAAAATAATATTAAATACCTACTAATACAAATTAACTTATTTTTAGTTATCATTATGGCACAAAAAATGTTCAAAAATACAGCCTTCTACTTGGACACACATGTTTAGTTTTTTCAAATATTTTCTTGGACGTTTTATAGCATAAATGGTGTTATTCTCGTGTACGTGTCCTGAATTCTATTTTCCATATCTTCTAATGTTATCCCTCTCTCTCTCCAGTCATTTATTTCATCTTTGAAGTGCCGTGATCTTATATTTGTTTCGTGTTGTGTTGTCAGCAACATCCCTCCTTTCAACTCTATTTGATGTGCTTCTAATACTGTAATAGCAGGATTTTTGGCCCAACCACCGTTTTGGAGAATGTCCTCCAAGTCTTGTTCCTTCTACTTCTCCTTAGACCACACATTTTATTGAGGTTGTTATATGCCTATCTTTCCAAATTTTTTTGGACAGCTTAAACACTTGGAATTTTCTTCAATGCTGTGGGTACCATCTATTAGCATAAGTGGTGTTAAGTCACATGATCGAGGGGCATCCAATGAATGTACCGCTACCGCCGTCGGTAATGACTATTTAAAAACTTCTCGATGGTAATGCGTACGAGCTCCATCTTTGCTGAAAACACGATGGTTGGATGTCAATATTATCAACTTCTCCAACTTATCATTCTGCAAAAAGTTTAAATAGCTAGGCTCGTTAAGTGGTTCGCGAAAAAATATGGTTCCAATAACTTTAAAGTGGTAAATTATATTAGCCTCTTCACAGCCACTAACTAGGAAATTATCTTGAACTTGAAGTAAATTTTCCAATTTATATTCCTCATTCGTAGCATTCCGTTTACCACTTTCCGTTTTTCATATTTATATCGACTAGCATCAAACTGTTGCATTAAACATTGAAGAGATTGTCTAGTTGGTACACGGTAATTAGGCTACTTCCCCTTGTAGAGTCTTACAAAAACTAAAAGTCAAGCCAAGTATTTTTTTCCGCCTCATCTAGTATATAAATCACATCAATTAATTCAGCTTTATGGAATGCATATTTAGTTTTTTTTTTTAATTTACTATGATATGAATTTGTTTACTCATTTGTCAAGCAAAAAATTAACAATACCATTTTTTGTTGCCAATCAAAATATATTCGTTTATTTTAAACATGCTGTAGCATCTAAATCAAATTCCGTTGTAGACATCTTTTACGTTATATTGAAATTACGCTAATATCAAATATGAGTGAAAACTAGTATTTTTCTAGAAATATTAAATATTATATTTTATATATTAAAATTAGGTTTACTGTTTATATTATTATTAATTTAAATATTGAAGAATTTGAAAAGGAATTCAAAACAAAATTTAAAAATGGGGTGTTCAAAAAACTGTATCTTTTATTCGTCACGCTTTTTTGGGTTACCCTGTATGCTTGAAATATTTTTTTTTCCTAACAATCTCTACAACTTTTGTATTTGTGTCAATGCCAATTTTGAAGTAACTATAATAAATGTATATAATCTACCACATTGTAAAACTCCCTGTTTGATAGAGGAGAAAATCGACATATGAAGTTTGCGTGACTATTTTTTTTATATGGGTAATCCAAGTAAGCGTTGATCTGGTGAAAATGCTAAATAACATTTTATCCTGGTCTTCCTTAAACCTCCGCTCCGATACCACATGATGAAAATTTTCCTGTGCCATCACGATCAGATAGCTTTGAAGTTCAACAGAATCCGGTACACCACTAACCAGTGATAAAATCCAAGAATAAAGCGGAAATTCTAGGTTCACGACTAAAGCAACGGAACTTGCTCCAAGATGACTGATCAAAGAGAGCGCCATAAAAGTTTTTCATGTTTTTTTCACAAAAGAAGCCGGTATTTGTTACTTTAAAAATGTGACTCAATTGTTTGAGAAAATTGGAATACCCTCCGTAGCATCTGACTGGCGGCATTTTATCGATAGCTCTTCAAAAAGTTTAAAAGCAGTTTTGCTTTAAAACGGAAATAAATTGTCTAGTCTTCCTCCAGCACATTCTGCATTGTTGAAAGAAAGCTATGACAGCGTGAATTCAATACCTTGTCATCTTTGTTTATGGGATAGCATTATCAACAGGTGATCGGGCCTAATTTTATATTGGAAAACATAACGTAAAGTCGGAACCAATTGTACATTCCGAAGCTTTTAAATATTTAAGAGAATTTTTTCCAAAGTTTTCTGAAGCTAAAGTTTAAGGTGGTAAAATGATGACTTCATCAAGTTTCTTAGTGATTGTGAAAAACGAACCTGAAAGAGTTTTAAATTAGTAGTAGTAGCGAATAATTAAAAACTATTGATTGATGCTTTAAAGCTTTAAAACTATGGGCTGCAGAATGTCTCATAAACTTCATATGCCACTTTCTCATTTAGATGAGTTTAAAAATAACGTGGGCGCCTACTCCGAAGAACAAGGAGAACGTCTTCACCAAGATGTGATGGACTTTGAACGGCGTTACCAAGGACAATACAAGGAGAATATGATGGGAGATGACATTTGGTATTTAATCCAAGAGAGCCCATACGAACACAAACTAAATACGAAAAATATTCATTTTTAGACATTTATTTATTGTTATTATATATGCTATTG